TGGCCTGCTGTGTTCATCCAGCTCTGCACCTTGTTGACACACCAACTAGCCAGCTGCAGAGGGTGGTATTTGTATTTTGGAGCACAGACGATTTTGTTAAGTGTCCCTTGGTTGACATGGGCGAGTTTTGTCAATGTGTTCATTTGTCAGGAATTGCAGCTTTCAGCATGAGAGATCCAAGGCATACAAAGTTGGTACAGTACAAGGGAGACAAGTTATGAAGTTTGAATAAGCCATGTCATTGTGCAGTAAAGGTCACTTGTGCTGCCCAGCGCCGACTCACTCCTTTGTGAGTTGATCTGCATTTTTCAGGAACAATTTTTGATTTGTCATTGTGATTTGCATGTAACCAGATTAAAAAAAAACACATCATCAATATCAAAACACTAAGTGCAAATGCTGCAGTTGATCAGCAGGAGATTTTACATTTTCGAGAAGAATTTCGAAACTGAAAGTGATTTTTCTTCGTTCCCTCAGAGATAGGATCAGTTAGTTTCCCCTGTGCTTGGGATCAGATTTAGAGGCGAAATTGCCTGTTCCGGGACCAACCTAAATGTGGCGAACGTCCCATGGTACAGCAGTATACCTGCAGCTGCGTGAACCTCTTTTCAAACCAGTTCGTGCAGATTTGCATAAGGCTACAGTGCAAAGAATGAACTTGTAGCAACATCACTTCCTGCATCAGTAACTGCACGTCAAAAAAAAATAATTTGACTGAACGCCTCTGGGATGAAGGTGCAAATCTGGCAAATCCTAAATTCATTCTTTCAAGAACACCTAACAACGAATTCCTTTCAATGGAGCCAAACTGACTGTGGTATTTCTCAGTTCCTCTTGCTTTTTGTTTGCTGTTGTGAGACGACAGGTCTGAGGCATCCTGGGAACAGTTAATATTGTCAATACACACCACTCCCCTCGCTCAAACACCAGCCACAGGGAAAATGAAGGAAAACAACTGCTGATTTCCAAAAAAAACTCTTTCCAGATTATTTCACTAGTTAGTTTTAAACCACAAAGGACAAGGAAGTGCAAACGGAGACCAATAAGTGCAGTTACCTATTCATTATAGACTGTGACACCATCCTGATAAATTCCTGATTATAATTTGCTATAATTTCACGCTCAATGAATCAAGCATTTCCATCGATGGCAGCCCCTTGAATTTATTATCATGATAAAAGGACCATTGTGGGCGGAGAATTCAAACTGTTAACAGAAAGGGCTTCAGAAGACAGCGGTTTCCTGGACGACAGGGTAAACACTCCTATTGCAGGAGTCGCGTCCATCTATCCTCCGACATGCTAATCTTAATTAAATAACATTTTGTTTCTAAATTATAAACTAAACAACTAACAGCCAAGCGAAAACACCTTTGCAATCCAGGGGCATTATAATAATCAGTAGATTTTATAATTTAATCAATTTCTAGATTTATCGCTAATCTTTACAATAGTAATTATTTGATTCATTCGAATGAAGAGGCGGAGACTAGTGAAGTTGGCAGACAAAATAAAACTCAGCAACTCTTCAATACAACTTCTGAAAGTCGAACAAAGAGTTAGTTTGAACTCGAATCTCAGGTCTGATTCAGATTGAGAAACTAGCCGGAAAGTGGGGGCTTGTCTCAAGTAAATCTGTTTCGGAATTTGTCTCAATGGGTAAATTTATTCAGAAAGGCCATATGATCTCACTCTGTATACTCTTTATCAATACAGCACTGGACTTCCCCTCAAGTCTCAGTCTGGTCACTTCCCCATTGGGTTGCCAAGCGCCCACCTACCCACCCACCCCCCTCCCCCCACCTCTAAATCTAACACTTGTACAATCTGAGTGTAATGTGGTGGATTAAACACCTCACCAATCAATGTAAGAAATATCACTCGTGGGACATAAGGCGCTTTACATTCATTATTTGTGTTCACTTAATTTGTGTTCACTTATTGCAACAGTTACTATGTTAGAAACTCTTCGCACTAGACTGTGAAAACCTGTAATCCATCATACATTTATTTACTGACAATATCTTCTAATATGGTTACCTGTTCAAATAATCGTTAAGTGTTAAAACTAGGAAATTAATGTTCGGCATTTATTCTTAGTAAGCCTTCATTTAAAAGAAAATTCGATTTACGAAAAGATTTTATTTCCAATCTCAAGGTCACTACTTACTTTTCGTGCCTCTGCCGGACTCTCCCATTCCGAGTGAAAACAAGTTTCGAAGAAGTGAACTTGTTAATATGTGTGTGAGCCCTGTACTATAGGTTGCGGCTTCACATCCTGATTTAAATATATATTACGATATATTTCCTCATCAATCGATGTGGGTGTGTCGGTCAGTTGGCTAAGGGATAAGGGAGGGTCCAATTGAGTTGCTTTCCTCTGTGCAAGTTTTTTGAAAGTGACCAGGTAAGGAATGGGGGTAGAAAAACACACGACCAAAGTCTTTAACCACACTCCCCCCGCCCACCAACCCGCTACCTGCTCCAGGGAGACTCCTACTGTCAAATCTCGGCATTTTCTAGAGGCACTGAGCAAAGGATTGTCGGATTCTGTAATTATATTGGGTTTGAAATATGAGCACATTGATATGCATTTCAACCTCTTAAAATGTTTTATTCACTCGTGGGATGTGGGTGTTGCTGGCTGGGCCAGCATTTACTGCCTGTCCCTAGTTGCCCTTGAGAAAGGTGGTGAGCTGCCTTCTTAACAGCTACAGTCCACATGCCATAGCTTGAACCACTATGATCTTAGGGAGGGAATTCCAGGAGGTTGACCCAGTGACAGTGAAGGAACAGGATATATTTCCAAGTCAGGATGGTGATTGACTGGTGGGGAACTTGCATGTGGTGGTGTTCCCATGCATCTGCTGCTCTTGTGCTTCCAGATGGAAATGGTTGTGGTTTTAGAAGGTGCTGCCTAACTACGTTTGGTGAATTTCTGCAGTGCATCTTGTAGACAGTTCACACTGCTGCTACCGAGCATCAGTGGTGGAGGGAGTGCATGTGTTGCCAATAAAGCAGGCTGCTTTGTCTTGAATGATGTCAAACTTCGTGTTGTTTGAGCTACATCCATCCAGTGGGAAGTGGGGAATACTCCATCACACTCCTGACTTGTGCCGTGTAGATGGTGGACAGGCTTTGGGGAGTCAGGAGGTGAGTTACTCGCCACAGTATTCCAAGCCTCTGACCTGCTCATGTAGCCACTGTATTTATGTGACAAGTTTCAGGTCAATGGTAACCCCTAGGACATTTATATGGGGAAATTCAATGACCATTGAATGTTTAGAGGCAGTGAGTAGGTTGTTTCTTATTGCAGATGGTCATTGCCTGGCATTTGTGTGGCACGAATGTTACTTGCCACTTGTCAGCCCAAGCCTGGCTATTGTGCAAATCCTGCTGCATTTGAACATGTATCTGAGGAGTCATGAATGATGCTGAATATTGTGCAATCATCGGCGAATATCCCCACTTCTGACCTTATGAAGGTCATTGAAGCAGCTGAAGATGGTTGGGCTTAGGATGCTACCCTGAGGAACTCCTAAAAGATATTTTGATAGGCACATGAATAGGAAAGGTTTGGAGGGATATGCACCAGGAGCAGGCAGGTGGGACTAATTTAGTTGGGATTATGTTTGGTATGGACTGGTTGGACTGAAGGGTCTGTTTCTGTGCTGTATGACTGTATGACTGTATGCCCTGGAGCTGAGATGCCTGACCTCCAACAACTACAACTGTGTTCCTATGTGCAGGGTATGATTCCAACCCAGTGGAGAGTTTGCCTCCGATATGATTGATTTCAGTTTTGCTAGGGCTCCTTGATGTCACATTCAGTCGAATACAGCCTTGATTGCCAGGCGGCCCCTCTCACTTCACCTCTGGAATTCAGCTCTTTTATCTATTTTGTAATGAGATCAGGAGCTGAGTGCCCTTGGCAGAACCCAAATCGGGCATCACTGAGCAGTTATCACTGAGCACGTGCTGCTTGATAGCACGGTCAATGACACTTTCTATCACTTTTAATGATGATTGAGAGTAGACTGATGAGGTCGTAAATGGCTGGTTTGGATTTGTCCTGCTTTTTGTGTATAGGACATATCTGGACAATTTTCCACATTGTTGGGTAGATGCCAATGTTGTAACTGTACTGAAGAGCTTTGCTAGTGGAGTGGCAAGTTCTGGAGCACAAGTCTTCAGTACTGTTGCCGGAATGTTTTCCGGGCCCATAGCCTTTACCGTGTCTAGTGTCTCCAACCATTTATTGCTATCACGTGGAGTGAATCGAATTGGCTGAAGATTACTATTTGTGATGCTGGGGATCAGTGGAGGCTGAGATGGCTTACAAAATATACCTCGGTTCCTCCCCAAATTAAGACCTGCTCCTATGAAGTGCAGCGTTGCAGACAAGATTGGGACAGAAGTGGGACATTCAGCCCCTCAAAGCTGTTCTGTAGATCATAAGAACTAAACTAGATGCAAGAATCTTCCCCTCAAGCCTGCTCTCCTTCCTGTGAAATCATGGCTAATCTCTCACAGGCCTCAATTCCTTATTTGTGCCATTCTCTGTAACTCTCAAATCTTCAGTATTTCAAAAATGTATTTATTTCTTCTTTAAATGCTTTCAGTGATCTAACCCCCACAACTCTCTGGTGTAGAGAATTCCATACATTCACTGCCCTCTGGAAGCAGAAATTCATTTCTGTCTCAATTTTAAATGAATGCTCCGTCCCCATTCCGTAACTATATCCCCCTGTTCAAGGTTTGCCCACCAGTGAAAACATCTTCTGAATATCTATTCTGTCAACACACTCAAAACCTTGTATATTTCAACGAGATCACCCTCATACTTTTAAACTCCAATGAATAAAGGCCTAACCTGTTTAGCTATTCTTGATAAGTCAACCCCATCCAACCCAGGAACCAGTCTAGTGATTCTCTTTTGAACACTCTCCAGTGCCAGGATATCTTTCCCTTAATACCAGGGATCAAAACTGTACACAGTATTCCTGTAGTGGCCTCACCATTACCCTATAAAGTTGTAACAAACTTTCCTATTATTAAACTCCAATTCCTAGCAATAAATGCCAAAATTCCAATTGCCTTCTTACATCTTGTTATACTGACATGCTAACTTCTTGTGTTTCATGCACAAGAGCACTCAGATCCTTCTGTTCTGCACATTTTGAGTCTCTCTACATTAAATAAATATCTGCCTTTGGATTCTTCTGTCAAAGAGTGCACAATCTCACAATTCCCTACATTAACCTCCATCCACCAAGTTTTTGCACACCCACTTAACCTGTCTAGGCCCACTTGCAGATTTCTTATGACTTCATCGCAAAATGCCCTCCCACCTATTTTTGTATCATCAGCAAATTTGGATATATTACACTCTGCCCCCTCCTCTAAGTCACAAATATGGACAGTGAATAATTGAAGTCATAGGATTGATCTTTGTGGCACTTCACTAGTCTTTTCAATGTGAAAAAGACCCATTAATCCTGACTGTCAATCTGTGTGTTAATTGATCATTAATCCATGCTAATATATTTCTCGTAACACTGTGAACTCCTATCTTGTGGTACACTCTTTTATGTGGCACCTTGTCAAATGCCTTCTGGAAATCAAAAATGCACTGCATCAATTGGTTCTTCTTTACCAAATTTGCTTGTTATATCCTCAAAGAACTCTGGCAAAATTGTCCATTGTGGTTTCCCTTTCACAAAACAATGTTGGCTCTGTTTGATTATGTTAAGCTTTTCTAAATGTTTTAATATTTACTTTTTAATAATTTACTTGCTTGGCCCATATCCCTCTAAACCTTTTCTATTCATGTACTTATCCAAACATGTTTTAAATGTCATAACTATACCCACATCTACCACTTCGTCTGGCAGCTTATTTCACATACAAAACACCCTCTGTGTGAAAAAAATTGCCCCTCGGCTCCCTTTTAAATCTTTCTCCTCTCACCTTAAAAATATGCTCCCTACTCTTGATCTCCCCCATCCTTGGGAAAAGACCTTTGCTATTCACCTTATTTATGCTCCTCATAATTTATAAGGTCATCACTCAACCTCCTATGCTCCAGTCAAAAAGTCTCAGCCTATCCAGCATCTCCTTATGATTCAAACCCTTCAGTCCGAACAATATCCTGGTGAATATTTTCTGAAGCTTCTCCAATTTAATAATATCCTTCCTATAGCAGGGTGACAAGAGCCATACACAGTACTCCAACATGACATCTCAATTCCTATACTCAATGGTCTAAGCAATGAAGGCAAGTGTGCTAAACACCTTCTTAACCACCCTATCTACCAGTGATGCAATTTTCAAAGAACTATGTACCTGAACCTCTAGGTCTGTCTGTTCAACAATACTACCCTACCATTAACTGTGTAATTCCTTCCCTTGTTTGTTTTATCAAAATGCAATACCTTGCATTTATCCAAATTAAACTCCACCTGCCACTCCTCAGCCCATTGGCCTAATTGATCAAGATCCAGATCCCTTTTTAATTCTAGATAACCTTCTTCGCTGTCCACTCTGCCACCAATTTTGGTGTCATCTGCAAACTTACTAGCCATGCTTCCTAAATTCTTATTCAAATCGTTTATATAAATGACAAACAAAAGTGGACCCAGTACCGATCTGTGAAACACTTCCATCCAAAAAAAATCACCCTCCACCACCACGTTCTGTCTCCTACCTTCAAGCAAATTTTGTATCCAATTGGCAAGCTCTCCCTGAAGCCAATGAGATCCAACTTTACTAATTAGCCTACCATGTCCAACCTTGTCAAATGCTTTACTAAAGTCCATGTATACAACCTCTACCGCTCTGCCCTCATCAATCTTTTTGATTACATCCTCAAATAACTCAGTCAAGTTTGTGAGACACAATTTCCCACATGCAAAGACATGCTGACTATCCCCAGTCAGTCCTTGCCTCTCCAAATGCGTGTAAATCCTATCTTTCAGAATCCCCTTGAACAACTTACCCAACACTGATGTCAGATTCACAGGCCTATAGTTCCTAGGCTTCTACTTACAGCCTTTCTTAAATAAAGGCACAACATTAACTGCCTTCCAGTCCTCCAGCACTTCACCTGTGGCCATAGATGATACAAATATCTCTGCTAGGAGCCCCGCAATTTCTTGTCTAACGTCCTGGGACACACTTGATCGGGTCCTGGAGATTTATCCACGTTTGTGCTTTTTAAGATCTCCGGCACTTCCTCTTCTGTAATGTGGATTGTTTTCAAGACATCAATATTTATTACCCTGAGTTCCCTAGCCTCCATTTCTTTCTCCACAGTAAAACTGACATGAAGTATTTGTTTCGGAGATAGTAGGAACTGCAGATGCTGGAGAATCTGAGATAACAAGGTGT